AGAGTGTTAGGAATTGTGTAAGCTAATTTGCAATTAAACACATTGACGAGTGGTGAAAATCTTTCAGATATGGAACCGACGTATGGAATTGCAAAAAATTTTTCCTTAACCTTCTTAATATCAGCTAAATTGCTATTATGGATGTGGTATTTTATCCTGTTATTAATCGTTGAAAAAATAAAATGAATTGGATATCCATTGTTTAAAAAAGTATTAATCGCGTTAACCAAATTAATTCTATGAAACCGAGGATGGCATAAACGGATAATTCGATCAACCACGCCATATATAACACCCCTCTTGTGACAAACCGGATGGTGTGAGTTAAAATTCAAGAATCTGCCGGAATAGGTAGCCTTGCGGTATCCGTCAAAAACGAGTCTACCATTCTCTACAATTAACATGGTGTCCAAAAAACTAATCCTTCCGTCCTTGCAGACCTCCACAGTGAACTGTAACCGTGCATGGAATGAATTAAAAATCCTTAAAATGTCAGCAATAGAATCAGATGGAGCGGCTAAAATAATGTCGTCTACGTATCGGTAGTAAAATGACAATCTACATGGCAATCTCTCAATAGCATTGTCTTCAAGGTCTTGCATGACCATGTTTGCCACTATTGGGGACAAAGGCGACCCCATAGGAGTTCCAAAAATTTGTTTGTAGATTTTGTTGTTAAAAGTAAAAAAAGTTGAGTTCAAAACCAAGCGAAAAGCAATCAGAAATTCATCTAATGGTATACTAGTTTTCCCCGACTATTAATTTTTTAAAGAGAATTTGTAATACTGTTAAGTTGTGTGTTAATGTTAGAGTCCGCATTAGATTCTTGAAATGTTGCATCAGTTGTAATATTGTACCACCACATTTACATAGATTCGCAAATTTCAATGGCGTGTTCCTTTACAATAAAAATTCTTACGAAAAGTTAAAGAGGATTCAACTTCATAATGTAAGAGCAATGTTGCAGTGTGAATTAAAAGATGCATATTATCAACTGCACACAGTTAGATCTAGAATTTTTTCGTTTTCTCATGAGATTTTTCGGTTTTTGCCGGTTTCCACAGTCGCATCTTTTTTCAAGTTTCTTGATAGGTTAAATGGTTCGTATTTTTTTCAACAAACAAAAAAGATTGATAGAAAGATTGAGTGGCTGAAACAAAAGAATCAAAAAAGGTTGAGATCTAATATAAAACCTATTTCCTATTCTAGTTGGATTTCTGAGGATAATTCTCCGGAAGTTTCTAATACTATTTCCGACAATTTACTTAATGATACAATAAAAAACAGGACGGTTGAGAGGGTATATATTTCTACGGATGGTTTTGGTGAAACTGCTCCGCTTGATTCGGTTAATAAAAAATGGCTCATTAATCTTAGTAATGTTAACTTTCCATTAGAAGTGCAATACCTGTTGCAATTAGGTGAGGGTTTCGGTCTACCGATTGATAGGAGTAATATCGATAAGACATTGGTTGAATTTATCAAGCATATTGAGAGCAATATTAATGGTCGTCCGAATAATGTTATCAATTTTTTTAGAAATAATTCGATTCCGTTGCTTGACAAACTAAAAAACGAGTTTCCTAGACTTGATTATAAGGATAAGTTATTATCTCAATGGTTAAAAACATCTAGAGAATTTGTAAAAAATCATCCTGAAGTCTTAATTACTATAGCTGATAAGGGGAATGTTACTGTTGCTCTCAATAGGATTGATTATATTTCAAAAATGGAAAATATGCTGTCTGATACTGACACATATGAGAGGGTTGAGAAGGATCCGACAAAAAAAATAATTTGTGAGGTACGCTTATTAGTTAGATGGAAAAGGAAGGAGTATATAAATGAATACACATATCGGATGTTATTGACGACGGATGGCAGCACGCCTAGGGCATACGGATTGACGAAGATCCATAAGCCGGGCTTTCCGCTAAGATTGATTGTCTCTTCGATTAACAGTCTGTTGTATAACTTAGCCCTTTATTTACATAAAGTTATTGATGAAGCCGTACCTAAAGTTCCGAGTTATGTAAAGAACAGTTTTGACCTCATTAATAAGCTAAAAAATGTTAACATTGAACAGGATTGTATGTTGGTTTCCTTTGATGTTGTTTCTCTGTTTACCATACCTATAGAGTTGGCAACTGATAGTTTGATGCGTAGATGGGGACATATATCGGGGAAAACTAGTATATCATTAGATGAATTTCTGATTGCTTTTCGCTTGGTTTTAAACTCAACTTTTTTTACTTTTAACAACAAAATCTACAAACAAATTTTTGGAACTCCTATGGGGTCGCCTTTGTCCCCAATAGTGGCAAACATAGTCATGCAAGACCTTGAAGACAATGCTATTGAGAGATTGCCATGCAGATTGTCATTTTACTACCGATACGTAGACGACATTATTTTAGCCGCTCCATCTGATTCTATTGCTGACATTTTAAGGATTTTTAATTCATTCCATGCACGGTTACAGTTCACTGTGGAGGTCTGCAAGGACGGAAGGATTAGTTTTTTGGACACCATGTTAATTGTAGAGAATGGTAGACTCGTTTTTGACGGATACCGCAAGGCTACCTATTCCGGCAGATTCTTGAATTTTAACTCACACCATCCGGTTTGTCACAAGAGGGGTGTTATATATGGCGTGGTTGATCGAATTATCCGTTTATGCCATCCTCGGTTTCATAGAATTAATTTGGTTAACGCGATTAATACTTTTTTAAACAATGGATATCCAATTCATTTTATTTTTTCAACGATTAATAACAGGATAAAATACCACATCCATAATAGCAATTTAGCTGATATTAAGAAGGTTAAGGAAAAATTTTTTGCAATTCCATACGTCGGTTCCATATCTGAAAGATTTTCACCACTCGTCAATGTGTTTAATTGCAAATTAGCTTACACAATTCCTAACACT